CTTTGAAAAACAAAAAGCAAACTTCAAAATCCATTTTTCAAATAAATTATTTATTCGAAATAATCACAATAATTTGCCATTGGCCCTGGCTTATCGCCCACCCGAAACATTTCTCTTTTCCTCTCAATCTCCACAGCGAACTCGGTGATATCAAGTTTTCAAAACGTCCCATAGTTTTGCATTTGTTGTTCCCTTGGGAGGAGTTCAACATCGGGGTCAACATCACGTACTTGCGGAATGGCAAAGGCAACAACAACAGCGGCAACAACACAGCGACATTAGAATCTATTAATGAACAATAAAATCAACTTAATGAATTGTTCACTCATAATAATTAATAATTCTGGTTAATCTTTTATTTGTTTTTTGTTGTTGGTGTTGGTGTTTTGAACTTTTGATTTCATTCATCATAAATTTTGAAAGAATTTTAATGGGGGGAAGGAGGAAGGTGGTGAAGAAATTTTATGGTTAGCAATGATGACTTCTCATCTACTCTATCGTGGGAGACCTAAATGGTCATCTACCCGGCAGTAGATGTCCCCTGGTGAAGTTTATTCTACAGTAGATGCCTCCTGGATGCAACTAGTGAACCGTAGATGGCTCCTGGTGACATCAACTGTACCGTAGATGCCCCCTGGCGACATCTACTCGGCAGTAGATGTCCTCTGATGACGTCTACTCAGCAGTAGATGTCCCTTGGTGACATCTACTCGGCCGTAGATGTCTCGTGATGACATCTACTCAGCAGTAGATGTCCCCTGGTGACATCTACTCGGCAGTAGATGTCCTCTGATGACATCTACTCGGCAGTAGATGTCAGCTGGTGACATCTACTCGGCAGTAGATGTCCTCTGGTGACATCTACTCGGCAGTAGATGTCCCCTAGTGACATCTAATCGACAGTAGATGTCCTCTGATGACATCTATTCTACAGTAGATGTCCCCTGGTGATGGCTCCTGGTGACATCACAGTAGATGTCCCCTGGTGACATCTACTCGGCCGTAGATGTCTCCTGGTGACATCTACTCGGCAGTAGATGTCCTCTGATGACATCTACTCGGCAGTAGATGTCCTTTGATGACATCTACTGGGCAGTATATGTCCTCTGATGACATCTACTCGGCAGTAGATGTCCTCTGATGACATCTACTCGGCAGTAGATGTCCGCTGGTAACATCTACTCGGCAGTAGATGTCCGCTGGTGACATCTACTCGGCAGTAAATGTCCGCTGGTGACATCTACTCGGCAGTAGATGTCCGCTGGTGGCATCTACTCTACCATAGATATCACAATCAGCAGTAGATGTCCCCTGGTTACATCTACTCGGCAGTAGATGTCCCCTGATGACATCTACTCGGCAGTAGATGCCCTCTGATGACATCTAATCGGTAGTAGATGTCCCCTGGTGACATCTACTCTACAGTAGGTGCCTGCTGTTATCGTATACTCTACCGTAGAGGTCTTTTGGCGACATCTACTCTGCAGTATATGCCCCCTGTTGTCATACATTCTACCCTAGATGCCCCTGGTGACATCCACTCGGCAGTCGTTCGACCCCCTCTCGATGACATCCACCCTGCCTCCTCAAACTCATTTTTAAATTCTTCCTTCCTCCCAAAATCACCAAACATTGACATTCCTTAAATTTCTGAAGTTTTAGCTGTTGTGGTTATGTCCTCCATTCAATCTTCAATTTCTACGAAAAAAAAACTTCACCCACATGCCAAGGCGAAAGAATGTAGACACATTTTTCAAACCAAAAAAAAAAAACAACAACACAACGAAAATTGCAAGAAAAGGACAACATTGAAACTTTGGCCGATTGCCCGGGTAGCGGCATCATCTTAAATGCATTTGGCTAAATTGAACTGCAAGATTTTGAAAATAAGAAGGGTAGAGAAGAAGAAGCTGGGGCAAAATAAAAACCCTATTTTGATTGTAAATTGCAATTTAGATAAATTTTCTGCCTATACTGGCAGCCAACAAAGTCCACAGGCCCACCTCCAGCCAGCTGGCGACCGTGACATTATGGCACCCACCCAGTCAGTCAGTCACTCACTCAGCTAATGGTTTGCCTACTTTTTTTTGGAAGTTCCACCAAAAGTGAATGACATCGACAAATGTTACACAAGAAAGTTATCGCATAAACTTCGGATATTGCTTTGGATTTAAGTGGTAAGTGAGCAAAGGAGGGAGGAGGGTATGCTGCGGGTGGCTGGTGGTAGTGATAGCTCCAAAGTTTCTAGGCAGCAATAGCATGTCTTTATTACCTTTTGCACTTTGATGGGAACTCTAACGAAAATAGGAGATTAGACGACAACATTTAACCTCATTGAACGGCAAAAGGTAATGGTCGGTCGGCTTGTTGGGGCAGAATGTGGGTAAAAACCAACAGCTTAAATGTCATCTAAATTGTCGTTCTTTTGGCAAAGAGTTGGAAGTTTAAGAAACAAATAAAATTTTCGATGGTCAGTCAGTGTGATTTGCAGAAGAAGAAAAAAGACCAACGGCCGACGACTCTAAATTACGACAAAATCAATTCAATTAAAAAAGTTTTTTTCCCCCGAAATCAATGAGGATACCTTAAATGGAAAACTTCAGATAAGAAGTTGAGGTTCAAGTCGTTTCGGATTAAAGAGGAAATATGTAAAAAATGGCAAAGGATTGGCAACCATTAGGAGGGTTCACATCCACTCATATAATTTTATAAAAGTGCAAAAAAGAGTTCCATGGTAGAATTAAAGGTGAGAATACATAAAACGATTTTTTTGGCTGGCTTAAATCATCCGCTGGCTTCTTCGAAAAGTAACAAAGGAGTTTTAGGTTGACTTAGTTCGATTTTGGCCCTACGCTCATTTGCTCTTTATCGAAGAAACCAGCCGGTTTAGGTTGACTAAGTTCGATTTTGGCCCTTCATTTATGCTTGTGCTCCCTTCGAGTTTTTGTTCTTTTATGAAAAAGCCAGACCATGGTAGAAGAATATAGGTAGACGCGTCCACACAGCTGCTGGGACAATGAACTGTCAAACCAAATTTGGAATTAGAAATGTTGAATGAAAAGTTATTTAAATTTGTAAAAATTGTTGAAAAGCGTGAATTATAATGTCCTCCGACTGACGTAGTATAAGAAAACATATAAAAATCTACATATATTTGAAAAAACATTTAAAAATTTTTGACATATTAATGCTCCCAAGCGTTGATGCATCTACCTGTATTCTTCTGCCATGAGCCAGAGGGTGACATAGGCCAGTAAAAATGTACCTCCACCAAAAGAAGACCCCTTGGCACAAGCAGAAAAATAGACTCGTCTGTATCCAAAAGGCTTTTGCTAAAAGATCCCAAGTGGATTCTATAGATTAATGGAATTCATGAAAGCTTCAAAAGTTTGTCGGCTGCTCACCTAGATTTTGACTCTCAACTAATCCTGACACTCTTCTTTCCCAATTTTTTCTTATCTTTCTCACAATGTCACCACCTTCCGCCTTAATACGTATTGTCGCCTCACAACCTATCCAATGAATTTTAATGATTGAATTTGTATTCTGTCATCTTATCTTTTAATCCTTCTCGAACAAAAAAAAAGAGATCTCCTCATCGACTGTTCTTATGAATATTAACACACAACCCCTGTATCCTTTTGAGGTCATAGCGCAAAGAAAGAAAAAAATGCAGCACAACGAACAAATAAACGAAAGTCCATTAAAGTGCATCTATGTTCGGTTGGTTGCCTTAATGACGGTAGTGGTGGTGCTGATGATGTCGATGATTATAAGACGATATGACATTTTTATGCATATTCATATTAAAACTAAGAAAATTCGTCGGCAGAATATTCAAATTGAGTGGAGTGAAAAGTACTATGTCAAAGAAGATTTCGAACATAGACAATATAGACAGTATCATTAATGAAAAAGGATGGGCAATATTGTACATTATACATTAAATAATGTCAATTTGACAACGTCATTTAAAAGGGAAAACGCAATAAAGTTTTTTTGTTTGAAAAAAACTATTTTTGATAATTTTTGTTTAGGATGCCTAGCTCTTAGAGTGAGAATACATAAAACTCCTTTTTGACTGGCTTAAGACAAAGGCTGGCATCTTCATAAAAGAACAAAGGAGCTTTAGGTTGACTAAGTTCAATTTATACTGGTGTATATAATTTATACTGGTGTACCTTACGCTCCTTTGTTCTTTTATGAAGAAGCCAACAACCGATGACTTAAGCCAGTAAAAAAATGTTTTATGTACTTTCACCTTTAGTCTTATTTTATTTAAAATACCAAGGTGTATTTTTTAATTGAATACACCCTGTAAAATACTTTTCTGGAAACCCATTTGGTATTAATTTGTCTCTTTTGCTTGCAGCATTTATTTGCGAACATCCCTTGTTTATTTAGGGGAAACACTCCTATGAAGTTTTTTTCTAGATCCGATACAATATAAACGTACTATAAACTGTCTAATACTAGAAAATCATTTATAAAGACAAATGAGAACACACGCTGCTTGATTCACCTCCCCTTTCTTCCTAAATTACAAATTTCTTAAATTTATGCCTCCATCGAAGTTTTTTTCCCTCAGCTGAAATTCAACCTAAAGAACACTGAGCCAGTTGCAAATCGATCTATAAATCCCTTATGTTTATGGCGGTAATGTAAATTCTCCTTAATATTACGCTCTCTCTCACATTTAAAAAAAGCGTTGGTAAATATAACTAGTACACATTCTTTGTTTTGTCTCGCCTCCCTTTGTTCCAAATACCACTAATACAATTTTTATAAGAAAGCCTTGGGTTAAAAACAATTTTTTGTTGGGTTAAAAGTCGCACTGCCGAGACCTAAAAGTTTTGCAATGCGATTTTTAAATCCCTTATTTCGTTTGAGTAATGGTGTCAGCTCTCATGCCTGTACGAACATGTTATAAAAATAAATTAAGCGACGCTTCTTCTTTTGCACTCGTCCCCACCCTCTTTTTAAGCAAAAAACAAACAGCTGTTGCAGCGTTTTGCCTATTCCTTCATTCACAAATCTCCGTACGTTGAATGCATTTGTGGTCGTGTACAGAGTAAACAGAAAGCACAACGTGACGCCGACAAAAAAAATCCTCCGCCTTCGTCATCTGCTCCCAGAGCAAAACAATCTTGGATTATTTCTTTAAATAAACAATGAAAGCAAACGTATTATTAATAATTCTCTTCGTTGGTAAGTAAATAAAACACCAGAGACTAATGAACACCATATAATTACTTGTTTATTTTTTCATCTCCCCCTCCTCAGGTCTTTGTGCCACAAGCTGTTCGGCCAAGAAACATTTTCTTTTCTCATTTTACAAACTCTTCGATTTCCTGCAAAAGGATAATGCCAACAATGCCACAAATACCACCAAATCGGTAGAAGAAATGACTGTCGATGAGCTGGGAGTGTCAAGAGGAAAATGCCTCTATGATTTCATATCCTTTGTTGGCTATGAAGATTTGCAGCTATGTTTTCCAGACGATGAATATATTCTACATCTGCTACCATCACCGCTGGCAACCGAGGCGCCACGCAAGCCACCCATTATGGTCAAATGTCTACCCGAACATCCGTTGATTGTGAATAACACAAATGAAATTCGTATTATGAGTTCGGTACAGGAAATTGTTGATCTTCTCAAGCCAATTGGTAACAACACCAAACGTTATCAACCCGGCAGCTGTGTGGTGATATTCTTCTACACACCCTCATGTTTGGGTTGTTCATTGGTGGCGGGACCCATTGTGGAGTTGCCGTATGCTTTTAAGACCATACCCGTTGCCGCCATAGATGCCTACAAATTCCCCAGCTTTAACACAGAATTTGGCATTGTTGCCCTGCCCACCATTATGCTGTTCCATCAGGGACGTCCTGTGGTGAAATATCGTGCTCAAGGCAATTTCAATACATTTGTAACGAGGCATACGGGTCTAAAGCCCGCAGAGGTACCCAAAGAGCTGCCCCCCTCACCCTTGGTTATTTCCGCCGACAATAGCACGGATTATGTTTTGGTCTTAGCCTGGCTGTTCATACTCACCTGTGCGGGTTATTATTTTTCACAATCACGTTTTTGTAAACAAATTGTGGAAATGATAAAACAGAATTGGCATGAATCGGAGGAGTTGGAACATAATTGAATGCCTTTTGGGGTTTAAGATTTAGTTTTAAGTTCCTGTAGAAGTGGGGGGAATGGTTTTGTTAAGTATTTTATTTTTCTTTCAGAAACTAATTAATCTACATTTGTTGTTTATTATTTAGGTTATTTATGTTTTTTTGGACAAGACTTGTAAACTATTTAAAATAAAAGAATTGAAAACGTAGCCAGACAACCATTTTGAAAACGTCATCAGAAGTCGTCTTTTGCACTTAGTTTCTCTAAAATATCCTCCAGCTCGGATGTAAAGACTTACCGGCCCCTCAGTCCGTCTATAAAGATTCACCGGACCTACCACTCGTCTATAAAGACTCACCGGCCCTTCAGTTCGTCTGTAAAGACTCCCTGGTCCTTCAAACAGTCTGTACAGACCCCTAGGCCCACAGATCCAGTCTGTAAAAAGTTAAACCTGTTAATTTAAATATTCCCTGGTCATCACACTTTATCGTAATAAAACATGGGCTCTCCTTCTTAAATAAAAGAATCAGGTGACCTTCATCGCTTCTTTATTAATACCCTGGCCCCTAAGCTCGCCCATAATCACTGCCTGATTCTTCAGCTCATCGACAATATCTGGTCTCTTTGTTTGTAGACTTCCTGGTATTTCAGCTCGTCTGTAGAGACAGCTTGGATCGATTCAATTCTCCTTGACTTCAATTTAATACAGACACCATAGGCTACCTTGCCTTTCTACTATCCTGTCAGCCCTTTCAATGAATTCTTATTCCCATAGATGTTTATCTTTTTCTCAATACCATGGACTTCTTATACCGAAATACCTCCCAAACCTCGTTGAGAGAGATCAAATATGAACTTTATTTTAAAATTTTGTTTATTATCCAGACATAATTATTCAAGGGATCTACGACCTATACATAGAATAAAAAACCAATACTGGAAAAGTAGAATAATAAAGAGAAACATTTGTACAAATACTAGAAATTTTCCGCGAGCTTCCACCTACAATTCCTATTCATCACCACCGCCTTCTTCATCCTCATCAAATTCACCCTCCTCATCGGCAGTTGCCTCCTGGTACTGTTGATATTCCGATACCAAATCGTTCATATTACTTTCGGCCTCGGTGAATTCCATTTCATCCATACCCTCACCGGTGTACCAATGCAAAAAGGCCTTGCGTCGAAACATGGCTGTAAATTGCTCCGAAACACGTTTGAATAACTCCTGTATGGCCGTGGAATTGCCAATAAATGTGGCCGACATTTTCAAACCCCTCGGTGGTATATCACACACCGCTGTTTTACAGTTATTCGGTATCCATTCCACAAAGAAGCTGCTGTTTTTATTTTGTATATTCAACATTTGCTCATCGACCTCTTTCATGGACATGCGACCACGAAATATGGCAGCCACGGTAAGATAACGACCATGTCGAGGATCACAGGCGGCCATCATATTCTTGGCATCGAACATCTGCTGTGTAAGTTCGGGAACTGTTAGGGCCCTATACTGCTGGGAACCCCTTGAGGTTAGGGGAGCAAAGCCAGGCATAAAGAAATGCAGGCGAGGAAATGGTACCATGTTCACAGCCAATTTACGCAGATCGGCATTTAATTGGCCGGGAAAGCGGAGACAGGTTGTCACACCCGACATGGTGGCCGATACCAAGTGATTAAGATCACCATATGTTGGTGTGGTTAGTTTAAGGGTTCTGAAACAAATATCGTACAGGGCTTCATTGTCTATGCAATAGGTTTCATCGGTGTTTTCCACCAATTGATGGACACTCAGTGTGGCATTGTAGGGTTCGACCACTGTATCCGATACCTTGGGCGAGGGTACCACGGAAAATGTGTTCATAATACGGTCAGGGTATTCTTCACGGATTTTCGATATCAGCAATGTACCCATGCCGGAACCAGTGCCACCACCCAATGAGTGGGTTAATTGGAAACCCTGTGGGGGGAAATTGTGTTATCAAATGTATTTTTTAGTTTGCCTTTGTTACTCACCTGCAAACAGTCACAACCCTCCGATTCCTTGCGCACCACATCCAGTACCGAATCCACCAGTTCCGCTCCCTCGGTATAATGACCCTTGGCCCAGTTATTGCCCGCACCCGATTGACCAAACACAAAGTTGTCGGGCCGGAAAATTTGACCAAATGCCCCCGACCTCACCGAATCCATGGTACCCGGTTCCAGATCCACCAAAATTGCTCGGGGTACATATTTCGCTCCCGTTGCTTCATTATAATAGACATTGATGCGCTCCAATTGCAAATCGCTATCACCATAATACGTTCCCGTCGCATCGATGCAATGTTCATCGGATATAACTTCCCAGAATTTTCCACCAATTTGATTACCACACTGGCCGGCTTGTATGTGGACAATTTCACGCATTTTGTTTTCTGTGTGTGTGTGGAGAATGTTTTCTTCAAAAATTTGACCGTTGGAAAAATCAAAAGAAAAAAATATCCGCTTTAAAAAAAAAACTCCTGCCTTTCAATATTTGTAAGGAAAACTATTTTATTTTCCGGATACAAAATTTTCAAGGATTGCTTGTGTTTTGAGTAACAAAATGTTGCTGGGGTTGGAAAAATTTTTTTGGAATTAGTAGAGTGTTTTTGCCAACAAGTTGTTAGAGAATTCTCTATGGATTGAGACTAACGTAGAAGCCCGGGAGATTCGCAAGACTTCTTTTCCACAGCGTATCTTGTGTTAGTAGAAATAATGCGATGTGTGAAATATTAAGAGAATCCGATGCTAATTTTGGATTTTATAATCGTTTTGGTTATTCAAAACTTTAACCCTTCGTGGGGGAGGTACGAGAGGAAATGGTCCGATCTCTACCATCTTTATAACATATCTAGTGTTGATAGAAATGTTGAAATGGGCCAAGTCTGAATGGAATCGGATGTTAGTTTCGCTTTTTATGAGCTTCATTGATATTCAGTATTTTGACCCTTTTGTGGAGGGGAGGTACCATAAGGAGTGTACCGATATATCCCTTCTTCACAGCATATCTTGTGTTAGTAGAAATAATGGGATGTGTGAAATATGAAGAGAACCCGATGCTTATTTCGGATTTTATAATCGTTTTGCTTATTCAAAACTTTAACCCTTTGTAGGGGAGGTACCAGAAGGAATGGCCCAATCTCTAACATTTTTATAACAGATCTTGTGTTGATAGAAATATTGAGATGTGCCAAGTCTGGAATGGAATCGGGTGTTAATTTTCTGTGCAGCAAAATATTTTTTTTTAAATTTCGACGTTTTGAGGGGGAGTTGCTACCATAAGAAGTGGACCGATATTGTCCATCTCCGCACTCAATCTAAGTTTGATAAGAACATTACGATGTTCCAAGTTTGGAACAAATCAGATGCTCCATTCCAGAGTCCATTCGGACGGACGGACATCGCTAGATCGACTCCAAATGTCCTGAAACGGATTTGGTCCAAATAGACCTAGGTTCTAAAATCGTTATTTCGACTAGGCACGTTTGGACCGTATTGAATGATATATATCCTCTCTAGCCCTTGGCTGAGGGTATTAAAATATCTCATCGAAGAAGCTGGAAGACGATAGGAGGGTATCTAAGGTCATTTGGTCGTTAATCTCGAGAAAAAAAACAAGATCCCTTTTGTCGCTTATCGCGGTAGGCATACTGAGTATGAGATACTGACCATAAGAGGGAAAACAGTGTTCTGGCCTACTGTATACTATGTAAAGAGGGAGAAGAGGTGGAGATGATCCAACAACTACTATGGGTGTCCCATGTTATCCAAAAAGAGACGTAGGCTATTTGGCAGGTGAGGGAAACTTCTTCTTCTGAGGCACAAATCCCATCTCCCTACAAACCCTTTATTTTCTTTCTCCATCTCTTCTATCACCAATAACTTTATTCTTCCTAGGATGAGCACAATGGAACAAAGGTCTGCAAGTAAAGCAGTTGTAGAAACCTTAAACCAGAACCAACCATGTACATTCTAAAGATCTTAAAAAACTGGAAACCCATCATGTTTCACTTGAAACCTTCCACAAATGCCCAAAGTATCTCTGTTCGATTGATGATTGAAATAAAAACACACATTTCGTTTAGATTTAAATTGATATATTTATCGAATAGGGTGTTTATTCTGCTTCTTCTTCTTCTTCTTCGACTTCTTATTCTTCTTTAAACTAGTTTTTTATATCAATTATTATTAGATTTGAAAAAAACAAAAATAATGAAGGGATATCTTCAAAATTTCTTATGGGAAATAATAATAATGGTAAAAAATAAGAAACATAAAAATATAAAGAATATAAATTAAATTCAAAAAAAATTCAAGATATAACGCTATGAATTCAATTAAAAAAAAAGGATTTATAAGAAAATTGACAATTATTTTGATAAATACAAAAAGTAAAAAAAAAAACACAATAGGAAATGAAAATCACAAATTCAAGATTTAAACAATTCTTCTGAGAAAATGAAATGAATATTACAAATTGAATTTCAAGATTTAAACAAATTTTCCGATTTTGCCACCAGAACAATTAGAAATCCAAAAAAAAAAATTAAATTATAAAGGCATGGGAATTAAAATTAAAAACAAAAATATCAACATAAGGCCAATGAAGAGAATTCATTTGTTTTGTTTGTTTTCAACTGCATTCTACTTAAAAATGGAATTCAAATAACCATAAATTCTGTCCTACCCAACACAACTTGATATCGTTTTCTTGTTGTACTTGCTCCACAGAGACGAGGTGTCTGTAGTAATGGTCATTGTTTTAAGATTGGAAATTTCTTGTTTTTTGCAACATATGATTTAAATGAGAAAAAGGAGATTACATTAATAGGGGGTGGTAGGAGGGGAGTGGAGAGGGGGTGGTTTGGTAAATATATACGTTTTTTGTTTTGTTTATAAAGCTAAAATTCTAAAGTAATTAAAAATAAAACATATTATGTATGCTGGATACTGCTGTTCGTTCGCCTGTTTTCTCTTCTTCTTCTTCTACCTCCTCTTCTGGGGGATGGTTGCTTTATTTCTCTTTATTATTTTTTGTTATGGGTTTAGCATTGGGTCATCTTATCTGGTAGGGGGGTTTGTTTTTATACGCTTAAGTGATGTCTTGCCATACAAATAAAGAGATAACTGAAAGGTAAACGAAATCCAATTCCATCATCTGGGGCTGCTTGTTTTTGTTTGCTGTTCCATACAAAACATTACACAACTATGCTAAAGGGTTTTTTTTTTTTTTTTTTTTTGTTAATATTGATAATCCACATATTCTCCCAAGGTCTTCTTGCCATATCTCCCTTTGCCTTCTTCCTGCGATTTGAATTAGTTTTGATTGTTGGATTCTTCTGAAGATTTGTTATTACTATTTGTTGGTGCTGCTGCTGCGGCTGGAGCTGGAGAACTGCTCGTATGCTTGGCGCCATGTTTGGAGCGGTGATGATGATGGTTGTGGTGATTATGATGATGATGATGTGAACGCCTGGCCGCTGAAGAATTATAGGGATGTGGATGAACGCTGTAAAAGAAATTGGAAAACAGTGATTAGTATTTTGCAAGATAATTGTTTATACAAAAAACATGTACCATATAAAAAAAAACTTAAAAGTAAACAAAAGAAAAACATAAGAAAAACAACAAAAAATACAACAATTAATAAAACAAAATTAAATGAAATGAATAAATAATATGATCCAATGAGAAAATTCAAACAAAAGCGCTTGCAAATTAAGTTGATGAGAATAATATGAAAGCTGCTTGGAGGGGGAAAAGGAGGGTTAAGTGACAATTTTGTTTGTTACAAAGTAAGGAATATGAAGATGGAGAGTCTGTACAAGCGATTTTTTTTTTTTGGCATCGGCTGCTACATCCACTCATACAACACATTGTTACAAAGCAGGCTTCATCTTTAAGGCGTATTTTTTGTAAATATTTTTGTGTTGCCGAGCAAAGTGACATTCGCCGCTTTCAGTAGATGGTAATTCCGGAATGCCATAATTTTCTAGTTCTCTCCAATATTGAGTTTTAGAGGCACAGTATGGTTTTTTTCACATAACTTCAATTAATATAAAAATAAGAGTTTATAAGGGAAATTCTGGATTTAGCGATGACATGTCCAGAAACTCGTCTAGATTTAGATTAAAAAATACTCATTCCAGAGCTTGAACTCCAAAAATTTTAAATAATAAAATGCAAAGAAATGTTCCAAGCGCAGATAAAAAACAAGTAAAAGAACATTAAATTCGGTCCGGCCGAACTTTTAATACCCTCCCCCACCTTTGGCTAAAGAAAACATTTTTATATAAAAGTTTCTGAATTCTTCCACTTTAAACTACAAATAACAATAAGACCGTTTGGATAATGTTGTTAAACTTTTCCAAAACCACACAATGGGTGGGCGGCCCATACCAAAACGGGAACCTCTATAGACCATTTTTATACTTCAAGGATTGTCATCTACCAAATCTTCTTAAATACCAAATTAGAAACAATTTCGTGGGTAGGATTATTAAAATACCGAATATCGATGGGTATCATTATGAGTGCGCTATAGGAAAACGTGGACCTTTATATTCAATGATCTGCAAACGGAGCTAGAACCCATTATGAACTACAAAATCCAATTTTTAAACAAATCCGTGGAAAAATGTGGCAAAAGTCATCAAAATATCGAATATCGGGAGGTACCGTTACATGGGAGCTATACGAAAACATGGACCTATATATACAATGTTGCGCTACCGGAGCTAAAACCCATTGCAAACTACAAATACCAATTGTTAGACAAATCCGTGGAAAAATGGGGCAAAAGCCATAAAAATACCGAATATCAGGAGGTACGGTTATATGGAGGCTATACCAAAACGTGGAAATATGTGTACTATGTTGTTCCGCCATCGGAGCTAGAAAAATTGTGGCGAAATTATCAAAATATCGAATATCGGGAGGTACAAAAACGTGGACCTATATATACTATGTTCCGCTACCGGAGCTAGAACCCATTGCAAACTACAAATACCAATTTTAAGACAAATCTGTAAAAAATTGTGGTAAAAATTATCAAAATATCGAATATCGGGAGGTACCGTTACATGGGATCTATAAAATCCATTGCAAACTACAAATTTTCGGACAAATCCATGGAAAAATGTGGCAAAAATCATCAAAATACCGAATAGCGGGAGGTACCGTTACATGGGAGCTATATCAAAACGTGGACTGATATATCTCATTTTCAATACTAACCATCCTAGACATAATACAAACTGTTCTGCCAAATTCTGAAGCTCTACGTCAAATAATGTTGGCTGTATCGTGATTTCAACAGGCAGACAAACGAATATCGTTAAATCGCAAAAATAGGACTAACTACAAAAAATGTGAAATGAAAGATGATTCGATTAAAATCTAGGAGCAGAAATCTTCAAAATACCAAAAATCAGGAGGTACAATTAATTGATTTTGTTTCAAATTTAGGGATGAAACCTTCAAAATGCGGAATATCAGGAGATATTGTTATATGCGATTTATACCAAAAACTTTACCTATATTTGTTGTGGAGAGTTAAACACCCTATTCGCAAAGCAAAATATCGAATTACAACTGATTTGGTTAGGGTCGGAGAACCTTAAAAATCCCGAAAATCAGAGGGTGGCATTCTATGGGTCTTAGGCTTGCAGTGAATATTTTTTGAGGCTTGCAGTGAATATTTTGCCCACAAAGAAACCAAAATATCAAAATACAGCTGATTTGGTTGAAATTGGGAACGTAAACTTCAGAATACCTAGAATCAGAAGGTACCATTATATCCGTGCTATACCAAAAAAAATGTGCCCACACAGAAATGGTACTGCTAGTGAACATTTGTTGCGAGGATTAAAACTATCCACTGATAGCAAGACATATCATAAAAAACAATGCAGATTCGGTGGGGAATTGGCATCGAAAACTTTCCAAATATCCGAAATCCCTAGGTACGGTTATTTGGGGCAGTTGATTGGTTGGAAATTGGATTCTCCGGTTATGGAAATTTGGCAGGAGGCTTTAGGACAATTCAAATATTTATATATGCCTTCTTCACCGGACCATCATTCCTATACTATTTATTGCCTGGTTTGCATGTTTTTCGATATATTAAAGGGAAAATCGGTTACGTTATAAAAACTTTTTACATTCTTGCAGTTCTGGAACAGACCATATGTTAGAGAATATAATTTAAATAGTTATTTTATTAAAATACAAAATTTATTAAATGAATGCTTGGTTGCATACCTCAACACCTAGTACATCCCCCTTTTAAAGTTATTTGGTTATCAAAAGCAAACTGATTATAACAACAATAAGGGACGGACATGTTTTTACCACAAAAACCAAACGGTCATTTACAACAAGCATTAATAAATTATATGTATATCTTGAAATAAACATACGAGGAATAAACAAAAAGAACAATTATGAATAAAGACATTATTTCCAAATATTATGAAATTAAACCCATTTACCCATATTGAGAGATGTATGAAAAAAATTAAACATATTTACAAATGAAAAGAGAGGAGAAGAGAAGAGGAAAAAATACAAATGATTGGTGGTACAATATTTTACATAAATGGATATAGTATAGTAGGGGAAAAAGTGAAAAAAAAAAAAAAAAAAAAACATCTTACAGGTCACGCTAAGAGTAGAGACTGAGGCTGCGGCGCCGCCAGGTACGGTAATGCAAGGAAAAAACAGTTTTGCTTAGTAAATGCAAAAGTTAAAGCGTCTTTAAAGAAGAAGTGGGGGGAAACAAAGCAGCATTTGGTTGGATTGTTGGTCATATCGCTTCCTATAGATGCACCACACATGCCATGTTTAGAATAAAAAATCGTTCGTTGCAAGTCGCTTAAAAATAATCGTTTCACTTTCGTATGTTGAGGGAGTTTGTAATTCTTTTCTTCTTTCTATTTTTAAAATAATTATTTTGTTTGATTTTTGCGGTTTTTAAAAATGTTTTCACTTGCGATAAAATCTTGGATTATACACACGCCAATCTCTATAGTTGTTTTTTGGTGATGATGGGCGGGTCATAATTTTGAACGATATCGTCGTCGTTGTAGCCATCGTCATTGTGCATTATTGTGTGTTTTGTTAATTATAGCATGTTGTTGTCGTTTGATATTGGGTTTTTGTTTAGAAAATAAAAATTCCAGATTAAGAGATATTAATATCAGAATAATTTAAATTTAATTAGTATTTTTTTGTTTAGAAATAGAAAATTTAGTGGGAATGGGTAGATATAGAATGGTAGAAAGATTAAGGGATTGTTACAGTTATTGGGAAAAAATAATTAGAAAATAAAAGAATTATTATTTTGCAAATTTTGAAAAATAGTTTGAAAAAAACGAGAACGTTTACAGTGGATGTTGGAAATGAAAAAAAGTGTGAAAATAAGCAGAATCGACAAGAAATTATATCAGGGGACCTACAAATTCCAATTTTTAGACAAATCCGTGAAAAAATGCGGCAAAAATCATCAAAATACCGAATATCAGGAGGTAGGGTTATACCAAAAACTAGACCTATGTATAGTATGTTCCGCCTTCGGAGCTAGAATCCATTGCAAACTACAAATACCAATTTTAAGACAAATCTGTGAAAAATTGTGGCAAAAATTATAAAAATATCGAATATCGGGAGGTACCGGAGGTACATGGGAGCTATACGAAAACGTGGACCTATGTATTCTTTGATCCGCCATCGGAGCTAGAACCCATTGCGAACTACAAATACCAATTTTTGACAAATCCGTAAAAAATTGTGGGAAAAATCATCAAAATATCGAATATCGGGAGGTACTGTTACAAAAAGTTATACGAAAACGTGGACCTATATATACTATGTTCCCCCACAGAAACTAGAAACCAATAGGAACTACAAATACCAATTTTTGGACAAATCCGTGGAAAAATGTGGCAAAAATCATCAAAATACCGAATATTGGGAGGTACAGTTACATGAGAGCTATATCAAAACGTGGACTGATATATCTCATTTTCAATACCAACCATCCTAGACATAATACAAATTGTTCTGTCAAATTCTGAAGCTCTATGTCAAATAATGTTGGTTCTATCGTGATTTCAACAGACAGACAGACGAACATCGTTAAATCGCGAAAAAGGACCAACTACAAAAAAAGCAGAAATCTTCAAAATACCAAAAATCAGGAGGTACCATTAATTGATTTTGTTGTCAATTTAGGGATGAAACCTTCAAAATGCGGAATATCAGGATATATTGTTATATGCGAGTTATAACAAAAATTTAACCTATATTTTTTGTGGAGAGTTAAATACCCTATTCACAAGGCGAAACATCAAATTACAGCTGATTTGGTAAGAAATCGGAGTCGAAACCTTAAAAATCCCGAAAATCAGGGGGTGCCACTATATGGAGCCTTGGCTTGCAGTGAATATATATATATATTTTTTTTTTGAGGAGTTGTACTGCCCACAAAGAAACCAAAATATCAAAATACAGCTGATTTGGTTTGAAAATGGGGAGATAACCTTCAAAATACCTAAGATCAAAAGGCACCATTATATCCGTGCTATACCAAAAAAATGAACCCACACAGAACAGCAAATTTACTTGAAAATTTAGGTTGAAACCCGCAAAATACCGAAAATTAGGAGACACTATTAAATGGACCTATTCCAAAAAGTTGTCTTATGTTACCTACTTTTTGCGGGGAGTTCATCACCCAACTCTCAAAGCGAAATATCAAATTACAGCTGATTTAGTTGGCAATTAGGGCAAAATCTTAAAAATACCGAAAATCGTAAGGTATCGCAGTATGGAGGCTATACCAAAAAGATGGCTATAAATTGAATGCATTTTATCAGGAGTCAAACTACCCACTGAAGGCCCAAAATATCATATTCGATACCACACATCCGAGGTATAATACGGTATAAAATGGTTTATTTTCTGCCATTTTTCGTTTCGAAATGTAACCAGTGTACATTCCTCCATAAGATGGTAGGGGTAGATGAAATGCAGCTACAAAACTAAGCAATTATAGTGGCCTAGATACGTAGAGCGAAGAAGAAATGAGTAGAGATGTAAATTCTGCAACTATCTACTTCATTGGGTAAACTTTTAATCGTGCTTGTGCCCTCTCTTCTATTTTATACTCATTACAAATAACAAATTGAAAATATTCTCTATTTTATGATGGAGGCCATAATAAGAACGTGGACGAACGCGGGTCCAGGTCCCACACCTCTGGAAATAGTTTCTTTTCTGCCATTTTTCGTATATTTTACATGAAAATGTTTCGAAATGCATTCCTATGACCATTCCTGAATAAGATGGTAATGAAATGCAGCCTCCCTCCAGCTACAAAATTTAGTGAATGCAGAGGCCTAGTTACACCACAGAGCTGTAAAATTTTTAATTGTATCCTTTCGATTCAAAAAATCATATTTTTATAAGAAAATCCAGGCATATCATTCTTTTTTCCCGCTGTCTAACTGATTTTAAAAATGAGGAAAAATATTTAAACAATAAAAACAATTTGTTGCATGCAAATTTGACAAGAAGCGGGCATAGCCTCAGGGCTGTATTTTTCGAAGCTGTTCTACCTCCTTATTGTACCATGGTTTCCACAGCTTTGATTTATTCTCTGCCAGAAAGAATGACATGATACAAAAATCGCATAAAGTTATTTGAAAACAAAATAACGTTTTGAATAAAATCATAAAGTTTGCAGGGAAATTTCAAGGGTACTTTCATGCATTTCAAAATTTGTTCCAAATCTTCTCATTCCACTGTAAGCTATTCATCATGCAGGTTTAAGATATAAATTATTTTTGCTGAGGTTAATTGTAAGAATCAAAATTAAGTGATAAAAAAAAAGATAACGAAAAAGTCCTCATTGCGCCGAATTCTTTTTGTGGCTAATCGAAAAAAATTCCAGCGTTGATGTTTTTCGTTTTTGTAAATTTTCGTTCTTTGAAAAAAAAAACTTATTTAAATGCTTGTTTTGTTGGTGGCACAAACCTTGGCGATGTTGTGGTACTGTGATTATGCATTGTTGGTGTTGTGGCCAATGGCGATGATGGTGGAGTTCTTAGGGGACGGCGCGGTGAGACACCACTAACATGGCTGCTGCCACTGCGATAGGCAGAGGACAAACGTCGAGGTGTTGTTGATATATAGGGCGATGTAGTGTTGCTGGTGGATGTAGCGGCGGCGGCAGCGGCGGTACCGTGGCTTAAAGATCGGCCGTTGGAGTCAATTTGTCTCAATTTATTGGATGATGATGGCAAAGTATTGTCCGTGGATTTTCTTGACTCGTCTGTTGTTGTAGCAGTAGAGGAGGAGGACGAGGAGCTGAATGTTGAATGTTAGAGAAAAGAAGTTTGGTGATTCAGTTTCGTTTTCAATGGTGTTTTTTTTTTTTGAAAAAGAGGATGGACGATTTAAAAAAAATATATATTGCATTTTTTTTCATTTCGAACTCCTTGTTGGATTTTGGGGGGGGAATTGCGGAATTGGCTTTGAAATCGAAGCTATAGCTTTTGTTATTCTCTAAGGCACTAAGATGAATCATGAATAATTGTGTAAAAAAAAAAAAAAAGTTTAATGACGGTCTATGGTGATAATGATGATGATAAAGAAAACACATTGACAAAGAAATCTAATAAAATTTAAATAAAATTAAATATAAATAATTTTCAAATTAATTAAAACTAATTGTTTTTAAAAAAAATCAATGTAGAAATTCTGCCTACCTCAAGTTTCGAGTATTTCAATTTGGTGTGTTTGGTTTAATATTTTGAGGGGTCAAAGGCAAATATTAGTTTGGTTTGAGATGATGAATTGGTGATTAAACTATTTGTTATTCGATCGTTTTGTTAGAGCTTAAGTTAAGTAGTTAATCTAAACAACTGTAGTCGAGTCGAGAGAGGTGTTTGCATTTGCTTGGCATTCGTTTTGCTTAAAACGTATTTAGGAGGATTTCTGTTTGGTTTCTTGTTATAAAGAGATCGCTAGCTTTTTTTTGGAGAAGGTTTAGTTTTTTTTTTTTTTTTTTGTAAATGGTTAATGCATTTCGTTATTTCATTTCGTTTCGTTTCAAGTATTAGTAGTGTCTTTTGTTTTGTTTTTTTTTTTGGGTAGCATTCACACATTTGCATTGTTATGGAATTTAATAATCATTATATCTGCAAAAAGATTGAATATTCAAGAAAAAAAATACATATTTTGGTTTTAAATACAATATTTTCAATGGTTAAGAAGTCGAAAGGAAAAACTATGTGAGACAAAATCAAAAGGAACTAAAGGAAAAAAAAAACAGAAAACCAAAATGTAAAAACAAGCTAAAGTCGATAATAAAAACCGACTGTCTGTCTGTCTCTACACCACAGTTAAATGGGTCAATGTGTAAAAAAAAGTAAAATGCTTTCAGTCGGTTAGAAACGACCAAAAGAAACGGTTCGATCTCTATCATCTTTATAACAGATCTTGTGTTGATGGAAATATTGATATGTACAAAATCTGAATGGAAACGGATGTTAATTTCGTGTTTTATGAACTTCGTGGTTACTCAAAATTTTACCACAAGGAGTGCACCGGTATATTCCATCTTCACACCAGACCGTGGGTTAACAAAAATATTGTGATGTGTGTAATTTGAAGAAACCCACCCAGATGCTTATTTCGGATTTTATGATCGTTTTGGTTATTCAAAACTTCGATCCTTTGTGGTGGAGGTACCAGAAGGAATGGTCCGATCTCTTTCATCTTTATAACAGATCTTGTATAGATGGAAATATTGAGTTGTACCAAATCTGAATGGAATCAGCTGTTAATTTCATGTTTTATGAGCTCCATGGATACTCAAAATTTTGACCCTTTGTGGGGGAGGAACCAGAAGGTGTGGACCGATATATACCATTTTCACACCAGACCTTGGGTTCATAAAAATGCTGTGATGCGTGTAATTTGAAGACAATCGAACACTTATATTAGATTTTATAAAAATCATAATTATTCAAAATTTTGACCCTTTGTATAGGAGGTACGCGATGGAGTCGACCGATATTGCCCGTTTTCGCACCTGACCCAGCACTGACGCAAATATTAGGATTTGCAAAGTTGGAGTAAAATCGGATTGTTTTTTCTCTTTCTGTGCAGAAAATATTTTCTTTGAAAAATTCGACCATTTGTGGGGGAGGTACCAGAAGGAGTGGACCGATATGTTCCATCTTAACACCAGACATTGGGTTAATATAAATATTGGAATGTGTGTAATTTGAAAACAATCGGACACTTCACATCACATTTTATAAGAGTTACTATTAATAAAAATGTTGACCCTTTGTGGGGGAGGTACTTGATAGAGTCGACCGATATTGTCCATTTTCGCACCAGACCTAGTATTGATGAAAATATTAGGATTCGCAAAGTGGAGGCCAAATCAGATTGTTCTTTCTCTTTCTGTGCAATAAATTATTTTCTTTGAAAAATTTGACATTTTGTGGGGGAGGTACCAGAAAGAATGGACCGATATTGCCCATCTCCGAACTTGATCTAAATTTGATAATAATATTACGATCTACCAAGTTTGGATCAAATCGGATACTTCTTTCGAGAGTTATCGTGCCCACCAGCCAGACAGACGGACATCGCTAGATTGACTCCAAATGTCCTGAAAAGGATTTGGTCTAAAGAGACATAGGGTCTAAAAGCGTTATTTCGACTATGGCTGACGGTATAATTAAAATTTATTTTTAATGCTTGGTTAGTAGATATTAAAAAATCAATGTTCAATTTTTGCTACTACTTCCAGGGCCTTCTGTCACCACCAAGGAAGTGTTGGATATAATTTGAACAAAGTGCTTTAAGGAACTAATCAAATTCAATAAAATATTTGATTTTAGTTAATCCAAAATGTACTTAGTTGGCACACGGACGAAGTATTTCATGAAATTTTTAGAAGCATCTAAGTTAGTGACCCAAAAGTTTTTTTTGTGAAATATGCTTTGCTGCAAATATGTGGTGTAGAGTATGAGTAATGATTTTGGAAAAAAATATCCTGTTGCATTAACAATTCATGACGAATAATACATAAATACAAAAAAAAAACTAAATACATATAAATGAGGTCAATTGTGTTGCTTTTCGATTTTTTTTCTTTTCTTTCGTTTGGCCGTCAAATAATAAACTTTACACCTAAATCAGTCTATCATTAATTACAATCATAATAGTAATAATAATAATAAAAATGTTAATGAAGCTCATAGCTTTTAGGCTAATTACAAAACATTTTCTACAATCAAAACAAATCAAATGACAAAATATCAATTACATTTCATTGTGACTTACCTATTTTGATGTGATGATGGGTGTTGTTGTTGGTGTTGTGGTGGTGGTGCAGGTAATGCTGGCAAGTATCTACGATTGTGTGAACCCGACGACGAGGATGGTCTATGCTGTGGATGACTGTGATGTGCGGCCGCAGCTGTAGTTTCAATAACCTCATCGTCGTCATCATCGTCTATTGGTTCAATGGTTAAAGTTTGTTGGTGTGGTGCTGCTCCGGGCACACCACCAATGGCCCGTTGTCCCATACGTCCGCCACTAGCCTTGGTGGTAAATTCACGATCAAAATCCTCGGCTTCATCTTCATCGAGATTGATGAATTCTTGACGTTCCTCCAGCTGGCCGGAACGTATGTCCTGTTCTTTTTCAATAATGTGAGCCCTCTCACCAATATGATGACCAATGGCCATTTTCTTGACACCATTGACGGAATCTTGTACGGTGCGACGGGTTTCACGTATGCCCCCTGGGCCGGTTTTAGTACTGCTGGTAGCCTGATAAATTTGTGGTCTTCCATCGGGTCCTGAAGACATGGTAATGACGGAACTTGAACAGAACGAGGCACCATTGTTACCAATATCTGTAAGGAAGACAGTTTTTAATATCTGAAGAGATTTTTGTAGTATTTTTTGAAAAACTTACCTGCACTCAGCAAACGATTCATATTGGGCATCATCATTGGTCCCATGGCTGGAAAGCCGAACAGGCCACCCATTGCTGGGCCATTTTGACGTTCCATCAAGGCGTTCTGTTGAAAACCGGGATCAAAGGGTGTCAGCATATTGAATGGATCGGGCATCAATGAATTCATCAAACGGTTCATGGAACGCATTTGCATGTTCATGGCGTTCATGTGGTTTCTAAAAAGGAGAAATAAATAGATTTGAATAAAATGAGATTGAAAAGAGTTTGTGTAAAGAAGGATATCTGTAGCCCAAATTCTGTAACTTTTTATTTAATTTGTTATTGAAAAATAAAAGAGTCAAATGATTTTTTTGTAAAATATACAATGAGTATAGTTGTTTAATAGTTACAGAATAGGGCCCTGGAGTCTATAAAGGTGTTTAGAAAATCCATGATGAACTCTTTATAAAGGGAAATAATTGAAGACATGCAGGGTAAGATGAAAAAATTGCAACCAATTTCAGACTGCTGTCATTTCTAAGCCACTCGTCCGGCAGCTGTTAAAATTATTCCAGTGACAGATCATTACATTGTTTACAAGCCTATAAAAGCTTTTTGGTTAGAATTTTCCAGAAAAAAGTTATTTGTGATGGAATTCAAGCGTGATAGTGAGATTTCTTTATATTTTGGCTGGAAAACCATAAGTGGCTATCGTTGGAGCACTACAGCATTTAAATGTGAATAAATATTTTGTGTCTCGTTCCATCGCTAATTACCGGTAGCGTAGCCTGACGTCAAGGAAGTGCACGGAAGAAAACATCAAAACATCAGTAGAAATGGTTCGGAAAGTAAAGAAGCGTCTTGATCGAAACCCGCGCCGCAGTGGCCGAAAAATGGCTCGTGATCTGAAAATATCGCAATATTCCATTCGGCAAATATTAAAAAATGAGCTCGGGGTAAAGCCATTGAAATTGCAAAAAGTGCAAGAATTTATACCGCAACAGAAAGAAAATAGACTCAAAAGAGCTAAAGAGTTGCTTCGCTTGGCCAAAATGTGCACCTTCGGTTGGCCAACAGAACTCAAGCTCCGGACATGGTGATGGAGTGGTTCGCCATAACAGCCGATGGTCGCTCTCCGCTCGTATTAATCGACCGTTTCTTCAGAAAAAATGCCGAATATAATTTCGGAAATATTCTGCAGGGTGTATTAAAGCCTTGGGCACGCAAACATTTTGGCTGCATACCTTGGAAATTCCAACAGGACTCAGCACGATCGCACTTAGCACGCGCCACCCAAGAATGGGTTCAAAATGAGGTTCCTCGCTTCATTTCCAGTGCACAATGGCCACCAAAATCTCCAGATACCAATCCGTTGGACTATTGAGTCTGGAGTATTTTGGAAAGCAAGGATGGCACTAAAAAATACCAAAGTGTCGATCACCTCAAGCAAGCGCTTCGCCGGGAATGGGCCAACATAACGCAGAGGAACATTCGGGTAGCGTGTGACGGTTTCATTGGCCATTTGAAGGTGACCAATTCGAACAAAATCTAAACTTATTCTAAAATTTGATGCTCTTTCCGACCTTTTTTGCTTTCATTCAATAAAATTTAAAAATTATGGCTTTTGACTTTATTGCAGTTTTTTTTATTTTCCCCTGTATTTCTTCGACGTCTTTATTGAATGCCCCTTTGATTCTAGACACAGAAGAATATTTCAGAATTGTTAGGTTTGTTGAAACATGTCCACGAATATTTCTTTATAAATGTTCTGGAAGTTACCTCTGTTGTTTCGCAGAATGGCGTATTTACAGACGTCGAGAAAAGTGATTCATAGAAGTCTAAGAAGATATGCACCATCATTAAAATACCTGACTTTATAGACGTATATAAAAAGTCGTCTCGATTAAGTTAAATATTCCAAGAGTTCTATTAAGTACTTGGTATATTTTTCTGAGTCCGATTTGATTTAAAATAAACTAAACACTGGATTTTATATCAGAAACGCCTTTCCTTTACTCAGCATTCATATTTTTGAACATTTAATATTTTGTTTTGGTATATTTTTTAAAGTTAAGTTTCGCTTTTCTAATTGAATATTTTTAAAAAATAATTTTCATTTTTTTTTCTAAAATAAAATTGTGGGCCTTGTTTTATTTTCACTTCGAAAATTAAAATGTTTTTCCCTAACTGCCTCTGAAATTGTCGCCCAGTATTTCAAACAAATGTCCTTGATGATGTAAAAGTGTGAAAATCTGCACACATTATTACATACTCAACAGTATCTTCGTTTTCTTTATCCATGTTGACATTGGAGGTAACACAATTTGATTTTGCTGTTATATTTTTCAATTCAGTTGATGTATTTTCTTTATTTTTATTTTTCCTAAAAAGCATTGCTTTCTCAAATTAGAACACTTCTTTTGGCGAAGTCAGATTACAACTGAGACAATATAGCCCACAGTTGTCATATATATAATGCAAATCATGGGTCCGGGAAATTTCTTGATATTTCGAAAATCAACTTCTAGAAAACTGCCCTCTATTGTTGAAAACCGAAAAAAGGTTGAGGGGTGGGAGAAGGATACAAGCAGAAAAAAAGCTATGTGTAACAGTCATTGATTTACCTTGAAGCCCATAAAGTAAGGGTCAAAATATGATACCCGCCCTGCAACGACCCGAAAATGTGCCTATATACATGTTTTTGTTACTAACATTAGATACCTTCTCCTACCTCCCTGTTTCTTGTTGTTTTTTGCGGGGTGACGCAGTTTGGCATGGTAGTTTTTGTCATAACCCCCCTCCCCTCCGTCTAACCCATAACATAACATCATTTTGTAATTGATTGACAAAACAAATTCGAACATTTTCACCTGTGTGTTTGGAAAATTTTCCACACCCCATCGCAAATTTTCAAATCATTCTACTTTTACAAATCTTTCAATCGTTTTTCTTTTCGTTTTCCTTTTAAACACACATTTACATAGAGGTATTGGCTTTATTTCATTTTTTTTCCATCTCTGAACACACACACAAAAAAGCCCAATACACACACACTTACCCAAAGATATCATCATCGAAGTCACCCATTAATGAGCCGAATAGCGACATTTTGTCTGTTTAATTATTGAGGTTTATCGCCGAGATTTCCTTTTGCAATGTTAGAAAACACTTAGCCGTTTAGGTTTTTCACAATTTAATGTAATTGGTTTCGAGAAGGGGTTTGTTTTAACTTGGGTTTTTCACTGTTTTTTCGCTCTCTCAAACGTCGTGTTTGTCTTCGCGTTGATTTCCTAATTATTTTCCAACAATCGTGCCATATGTTTCGTAGGTTTTTTTCTTCGTTTGATGTTGGCTGCACTGCTTTGAGGTGAGTGGCAATATTGGTTGTCTTACAGTTGCTATTAGGGCAGTTCACACAATACAAAATAAGATAAAAAATAATTAATGCAAATAGAAATGTGGTTTCCAAACAAAGCAGATAAATAGTAAAGAAATACTGCTGTAATCAAGAAATATGGAAATTAGCTATGTTCCTTTTTTATTTGAAATTCTTATACAAGAATTAATCCTGTATTTCCTTTATAGCATTGAAGGTTTGCCCACAGCGTTTAAAAGATTCAGTGGGCGAAGATTGTGTGTTTATTTATACATTATTCGGATGATATAATTACTGTTTATCTGGCGTTTCTTTATATATACCATGGTAGAATTAAGAAGGCAATGTCATGCAATCATATGTTTACATTTTTTCAAAATTATTAATTTGACAACATCTCTTTGTCAAATTTTTTATTTAAATATTCATTGTATACATACAAATCTGAGATGGGAACATGTTTTCTATACAGTTAAATTTGACAGAAAATGTAGATGGATAAAGTCTGGAAATTTGAGACACATTTCCGGACCGAAGTCTTGATGTAATAATACATTTATTACAAAACTATGGTATATATTATGTCAATCTCATTTCATATTCGAGACATTAAAAAAAATCAGGAATTAAACTGAAATGTAATATTATATTAGTGAAGGAAATGCAGAAGAAAAAAAGCTATGCAATGACAGCTGGGAAGGGCATCTATGGATTAAATAAAAGAGAATCCAGGACAATAAATATAAATAGGGGAGAAGAAAGCAAGGCAGTGACAGCAGGGAAGACCAGCAATGAATTAAGTGAAACTAAAACAATAAACAGAAGCATTAAAGGTGAGAGTACATAATAGGCTTTATTGACTGGCTTTAGTCATCGAGTGGCTTCTTCGGAAATAAACAAAGGAGAGTAGGACCAAAATCGGGCCAAGTCAACCTAGAACATCTTTGTTTCTCTACGAAGAAGCCGGTCAAAAAAGCGTTTTATGTACTCTCACATTAAAACTCGTAGACAAATTTGAGTGAAAACTGAAATTGAAAAATGTCAATCCCAAAATTGGTTTGACAGTTCATTGTCCATTCAGCTGTGTTGATGCGACTACCTGTATTTTTCTACCATGGTTGTTCTGTATTCGTCTTCCATTAACAAGGATATGGCAACACTGAAGTTTGTTAAGTGCTGCCAATGTCTTTTGGAGTGTGTGGTATTATTGCCTAATAACGGTAGCTAATGTACTTTTTCAACTATCATACTCATAGAGTGTGGTACACATTATTTAACATATTGAAGTTTCATCGATTAACTATACTTTTCAATTCTTGTTCATTTAAAATATGATCGTTTGTAAGACAAATAAATGTCAAGTGGAAAGTTGTATAAAGGAAGAATTTTATTATCATATTTTCATAGAACAAGAATACGGTTCCAGAAAATATTCCTTTTAAGTAAAGAAGTAATTTAATGACGAAAATATATTTACAATTATTTTACAGTTAAGGTATGGGTACATAAACAACTTGAAGTCTTCGCATAACCTATTTTGTGACATACAATAACAATATGCCAGAGCCGTACTTGAATCCTGCTGTTTGACTTTTATATACCAAGACATGATGCCACGCTGCTTATGCACCCTCACCTTTAAAAATCCTCAATTTTCCTCATTGCTTCTTTTTTCTATTTGAAAATAAAATACTTTCTTCTTTAGCTACTATTATACAAGATTTATTCCAAAAAATTAAATTTAAGCCAAATTGGACTCAATCCAATCTCTCAATTCGGCAACATTGCTGTAGACACCGGAGAAATCGGCACGAGCACAGCCAACACCCCAGGAAACAATACCGACCAATTCACCGTTGGCAACCAATGGACCGCCCGAGTCACCTTGGCAAGCATCCTTACCGCCATTTTCAACAGCAGCGCACAACATAACATTGGTGATTTCGTTGATGCCAGCATATTGGCTATTGCACACATCTCTGGCGACAATCAATACCTCGGTCTTTTGCAAAATCGAAGCAGAAGCACCATCTTCCTCGGTGGTACCCCAGCCAGTGACAACAGCAACGGTGGTGGGTTCAGGTTCAGCGGAGGCCAATGGAATGGGTTGGGCGGTGGCACTGAATGGAATATCCGAAGACAAGAAGATCAAGGCAACATCATTGTTGATCGAAGAGGAATCGTATTTCTCGTTCTTGACAATACGTTGGGCACCGATGACATTGTTAGAACCACCAACCTTGGTTATACCATACTGAATGCTGTAGGAACTGGCACCCAAGAAACTGTAGATGCAATGGGCAGCAGTTACAACAACGCGGGAGTTGTAGATGCTACCACCGCACACATGGGAACCCAAAAGGCGTACAGATACCTGATAGGGGTATTGATCGATGGTTGTATCCTCACCGCCTACAACACGACCCTCCAAATCGGGAATCAGACGTGGCATAATGATACTGCCCATAGCAGAGGCAGCCATCAAGGCCAATAAAACGAATGCGCTGCGATACATGTTGTCTTCTCTCAACTCAGCAAGAAACTACATGGATTCTATTAATGGAAAGGCATTTTTATAGAAGTGCTTCTTTTTTGTTGGAAAATTCTATTGTGCGAATTTTTCATGGGTTGTAAATTTTTCCAACTCTCAGCGATTTTTTAATGGTCATAAATTTCATAGATACTGCTTAGGCATTGACCACCGACTGACTATCTTATCATGGCGGGTGGCTAGACGTTTTTTTTTTCTTTGCTAAGCATTGATTTCTCTTGTTTGTTTTGATCGCGGTTGAGGTTGAGGCCAACAACTTTTACAGTGTTTCGTTATCTAGCGATGCGTGTGCCAAATATGGGCGGGGTGTTATAATAATTTGTTGATTTATTGTATTTATTTGACCTGGAAGAGATCATATGATCTATGGTAAGGAAGTCTACGACGCACATGCTGTGGGAAGGAAGGGGGAGAGGAGGGTGGATATATACATAATTTTGAAACGTAATTCTGCCAATAGGCAATTAATTTGGAGATAAAGCTAGCATTAGATTATCCGAAGAAATAGATGTCACTAGAAAAAATAGCAGAACACAGCAGACTTGCTATTTCCATGATTATTTCTGTGTATTGGGCGCCATATTAAACAGCCACAGATGAATCTGCACATTGAAAATCATTATCACGAAAAAAAATCCTTGATAAAGCAGGTCAGTTGCCTGTGGAATACAGTATTAGATTATCCGAGGGAAATCATGCCACTACCAAAAAGATAGAAGATGGCGCCCAATATATAGATGACTCACTGGGTTCCTTAAAAGAAAGGAATCATTATCTTTCTTTTAAGGAACCCAGTAAGTCATCTATATATTGGGCGCCATCGGTTACATACTAAACAAACATGGACGCTATGGTTCAAAGCGATGAATTCTGAGACATCATCTTTTAGCGGAGAATCCTAGGGAGGAAAATCAATTTCAAAAAAATGACTCATATGCAGATCCGTCCATGGCTGTTTAGAATGGCGCCCAATATATTAAAATAATCATTGAAATAATAGCTGTATTTTTTATGTAGCGGCATGATTTCCTTCGGATCATCTAATACAGTATTCCATAGGCAACTGACCTCCTTTATCAAGGATTTTTTTTTTCGTCAAACCAATTAGATTTTCCTGATAATTTATAGAGAACCCCCTTAGTCTCAAGCCTAGACAACTTGACGAGAACATGCGATATTTTTTCGATTTCTGGTAAAACATTCGAAGAGATAGAGATCTAAATATAAATCCGATAACAAAAATAAAAATATTATTTTAGAATCGGCAAAATTTCCAAGGATAGAATAAATATTCATGGCTTGCTTTGGCTTGCAAGCAGGCACTGCTCTACGTCATGACACAAAGGCCACAAATCACAGATATTAAAACACAGCAAAAAATATTGGCGAACTTATTTTGCTGATAACGCCCAAAACTCAGTAGAAATCAAAAACAGCCATTGTAAATTTGGGGGCTTTGATATATTCAAATTTATGATGTTTTTCGATGTTTTCCGAAAAGGTAAAGAAAGTATAAAATACCTGCAAATTTCTAGCAATTCATGTAGTTTAAAGAATTCTCTTTCGAATACAACATGTTTCGCTGTACCTTTGTTTTATTGGCCTTGATGGCTGCCTCTGCTTTGGGCAGTGTCATTTTGCCACGTCTGATTCCCGATTTGGAGGGTCGTGTTGTAGGCGGTGAGGATACAACCATTGATCAATATCCCTATCAGGTGTCTGTACGCCTTTTGGGCTCCCATGTGTGCGGTGGTAGCATCTACAACTCCCGCGTTGTTGTAACTGCTGCTCATTGTATCTACAGTTTCTTGGGTGCCAGTTCCTACAGCATTCAATATGGTGTAACCAAGGTTGGTGGTAGCACCAATGTCATCGGTGCTCAACGTATTGTCAAGAACGAGAAATACGATTCCTCTTCGATCAACAATGATGTTGCCTTGATCTTCTTGTCTTCGGATATTCCATTCAGTGCCACCGCCCAACCCATTCCATTGGCCACCGCTGAACCTGAACCCACCACCGTTGCTGTTGTCACTGGCTGGGGTACCACCGAGGAAGATGGTGCTTCTGCCTCGATTTTGCAAAAAACCGAGGTTTTGATTGTCGCCAGAGATGTGTGCAATAGCCAATATGCTGGCATCAACGAAATCACCAATGTTATGTTGTGCGCTGCTGTTGAAAATGGCGGTAAGGATGCTTGCCAAGGTGACTCTGGCGGTCCATTGGTTGCCAACGGTGAATTGGTCGGTATTGTTTCCTGGGGTGTTGGCTGTGCTCGCGCCGATTTCTCCGGCGTCTACAGCAATGTCGCAGAATTGAGAGATTGGATTGAAGCTAACTTGGCTTGAACTTAGGGTTTTTTTGATTGAATAAATGTTGTATAATAATAGCTAAAGAAGAAAGTGTTTTATTTTCGATCTGAAATAAGGGCAATGAGGAAAAATTAAGATTTTTAATTGTAAAACATGGAATAATCAAATAAATGCATTAAAGGTAAAAAAAACTTTTCTACGATCCTTTAATTTTTTTTCATTTGGCATTTATTTCCTTTATAAAAGTTTTCATTTGTCTTTTCGTAGAATAAGAATTAAAACACTGGCCTTAAATGTTTAATAAAAGAATTAGAGTTAATCTATAGAATATGTTCAATAGTGTGTACCCAACTTCACTCCTATGTTTAATAAAAAACGATGTTTAATAATGTGTACCCCACATTATTAATATGGTAGCTGAAAGAGGATATGGACTACTCGTATTATCCAATAATATCTCTCTCTCTCTCTCTCTCTCTGAATTGACATTGGCAGCACTTAAAGATCTCTAACTGTAAAACATGGTCAACTTAAATCAAGGTAATCTCATTTCAAAAAATAATATCCAGCTTTAAATTTTTCTGTAACCTATCTTTGCTTTGTTCCAAAACTACAAGAATGTAAAAAACTTTACTACGATAGTGGATTTTCCTTTTATGACATCAAAAAAAATGTCAATCTTTAAATATGTGAAATAAAACATCTATTTCCTTTATAAAAGTTTTCTTTTTTACTTTTTTCATAGAATAAGAATCAATACACTGGTCTAAAATGTTTAATACAATGAATTAGAGTTAATATAGAGCAATGTGTTTAATAGTGTGTACCCAACTTTACTTTTTTAAAAATGTTCAATAGTGTGTACCCCACTTTATTGGTATGGTAGCTGAAAGGGGATATGGATTACCGTTATGATCAAACAATGCCACTTTCTCTCTCTTTGAATAAACATTGGCAGCACTTAACAAGCCTCAGTGTTGCCATATCCTATTTAATGTAAGACGAAGTTAAGTTTCGCATAAGATAAATCAAAAAAAGGAAAAAACCTTCAAATTCACAATATCAGCCAATATGAAGTTGACTTTCATTGTATTAAATGTTTTATTGTTCCATAATTTCCTATTAAGAAGTTGTTAAGATAAAATGCATTGATCAAAATTATGTTTGTTTTCTGTCAAATTTGACTGTGACTTTCACAGGTTTTTAGGGTATCAAATCGATTTTCTGTTAAAAATTTGGCAAATTCTCTTAGATCCTGAAACACACAATTTTGAAAATTAAAATCAAATCAGGACCGGTGGCTAGTACCTAATGATTTTTTTTCATTTCCATGGAAGATTTTCTAAAATATTATTTTTCTTTTAGCCACTATTACTAGTTTTTGGGTTCAAAAGATCCTGGAAGACACAATTTTAAAAATTAAAGTCAAATCAGGACCGGTGGCTAGTACCTAATGATTTTTTCATTTTCATAGAAGATTTTCTGAAATAATATTTTTTTTTAGCCACTATTACTAGTTTTTGGGTTCAAAAGCTATTAAAATTTGGTAAGGTTTTATTTTTTGTTTCGGCAAACTAGCATGACTTAACACATTTTCACTTGTGTTATCAAATTCTGTAACTTAATCCAAATTTGTTTACCAGAATTAAGTGTTATCGGTTCGCAAGTACTTGTCTGGCTAATAACGAGAGACACCGTTATTATTACTAATCACATATTTGATTAGTATTGTTCAAAGTTTGCTCATTTAAACGCACAATGACTAAGGCTATGGTAAAGGGGGTTTCCAGGGAAATGAATTCGTCATTCGACAAATATTGGCACGAGTTTTTTTTTTTTTTTGATAAACAAAAAGGTAGTAAACATGAAAACATGAAAAAAAAAATCTCAGGATTAGGATATAAAAAACTAAAAAAAAAAAAATAAAATAATTTTACAACCAAAATGTTTATGAGAGCCTCTGAATTCCAGCATAAAACTAGCGGCCTCATAAACATTTATCAGTACTCTATGTCACCGCATACATATTCTTAGCACCTGGAAAAATCTCTTGACTCCTCTAGGGTGGTATTACAATAAAAATATATTTGCCTTGTTTTTATGTCATGTCGACCCAATAAACTTTATATCGCTTTCGATAATTTTGTTTATTGGATAATAAACCTGTTGTGTGGACCCAATTAGTTTTGTTTTTTCCTTATCGATTTGGGTTAATTTTACGATATGTCCCGTTTAAAGAAAGACTACCGAAAAATGTCATTTATAATGGATATAAACCGAATTTATGGCCAAGTTTTTGTTCTAATGCGTAAATTGATATTTAGTGGCGAGGGCAGGGAAGAATGTTAGGAAGAAAAAATATATAAGTATATTTAATGGCAAAGATAGGGAAGAATGTTAGGAAAAGGTGTAATATGGCAATCCAAAAAAAATAAATCTGGCGGAAATTCTATTTTTGGAAATTCCTAGAGGTCAATTTCCGAGCAATGAAAAGTATCAACTCTTTACCATTTATATATGAAGCTACTTAAATATCGCCCACTGCGATGCCACCTTGCGCATTTTCAAGGGAAGATTGGCAGCACTTTTCAGTTAGAACTTTAATTGAGTATACACCACCGAACAAACTGCTTCCATTTGCCCAAACGCCTTTAATAATATGACGAAAAGTGGTGTACAGAAAGATTTGAAAAAAATG